TGAATACTGGGTCCTTCTCTTCTGAGTCGTGACACAAGGAGAGAGTCTTAGCATGTCTGTCTGGTTCCCACAAGGCCAAGGCAGAGATGAGGCAGTTTAGAGAAGCTGGAAAACCTGGAGAAATCCTACAGATTGAGAACGTCGATGGTCCAACCAAAGCCTCTTTGTCTCTAACCTCAAAATGCTCATCTGTCCATAAACATTTCTCAGTGGTCTGTAGACCAGCCCACCAACAAGGGAAACCCTTCTAAAGGCAAATTTACTAAACTTTTATCAAGAGACCAAGACTTTGTAAAGTCTGATCCTGCTGTTTGTCCTCTTTAAACAACCCAGTCTCATGGGAAAATGTACCCCCACTACGTTGGTCCACACTGCAAAACGTAGTGGAGGTACATTAATGGACATTTTTTGTGGTACTGTTACATTTCTTCTGCCTATACGCTTTCTATTGTTTTACGTCCTAGTCACGTGACTTTCAAGATTCCAGCTGGGAGAAGAAAAAATATGGTACATATATTCCTATTCCCACACACCCTTTTTAGAACCATCAGAATATATTTTAAGGTAATTATAATATGAGTTTGCTTGTTGGAATCATTAACTGCTTTAAAAAAATATTATTATTACTATGCTTTTCAAAGAATTTAAAAGGGTGTGTGGGAATAGGAATATATGTACCAGAGTTCAAAATACACATTTCTAAAAGAATTTCAGATCAACTGTCTGTTTTCACAGCATAGATGGTGGCAGTTATACTGAGTTTACAATGGGTTGAGGAGGTTAGAGCAGACAGGGTGGTGGTCTGCACGGATTCCAACGCAGTTTTAGAAAGTATTCAGGGAGAAGGAAATAATAAGAAAGATTTAGTATTAGAAATTCAGCACAGTTTATTTAGATTATACAGGAGTGGCATTGATATTTGGTTTTGTTGGGTTCCAGCACATGAAGGGGTAAAAGGAAACGAATTAGCAAAAAGGGCTTTAGAGGAGGCAATAACAATTACAATTCCTTTATGGAAAGGGGAAGGAAAATCATTTATTAAGAGGAAAGAAACTGAAAAATGGCAAAAAAAGGTGGAATGAAGATAAAAAGGAAGAAGGTTATATAAAGTACAAAAGTCAGTATTAAATAGAAATATTAATGAGAGAAACCGAAGGGAAAAAATAATAATGATCAGGTTAAGAGTAGGTCATACTTATTTAAATGACAATTTATACTTAATAGGGAGGAAAAATAATGATAAATGTGAAGGATGTGGAGAGATAGAAAATGCAGATGTATTGATGAACTGCAAAACATCTGGACCTGAAAGGAAGAAATTGAAAAGAGGACAGGCCAAGAATGGAGTCTTAAAGGATTATTGGGAAATAAAGGAAATATAAAAGATATTTATAGATTAAGGAAAGCATTATTTATTTATCTTCAGAATACAAAATTAAAAAATAGAATTTAATAGATGTAAAACAATGTTGCTACACACTCATGAACAGTAGGTGGCGGTATGCACGCCCCTTCCCTAGAGCCCGGTGGGATCGAAAACATTTTGAATGGAAATCAGTGGGGAGAAATTAATAAACTTTTGGTCCCAGTCGCTCTCTGTCACTGATTCCAGATATGCTGGTTGTGTATTTAAATTGTTTTTTGTTTTTTTTAGTTCCTCTTTGGTCAAAATCTGGTCAAAATCCATCAATGAGATCGCACCAAACAGGAAGTTAAATGCACAAAGGATCCGGTAGATTTCCAAATAAAACACATCCGACCTTAACCCATGATCCTTTTTTTAACTAGTTTAATTAGTTTCTCCCGTTTGCCACGACGTAATGCATTGATCTGAAAATCAACCTCAGACGCAACGCACGCAGTGGCGAGGGTTTGATCCGTCAGATGGAGTTAAATCACAAAGAATTCAATGTTGAATCGGGGCGGCAGCTAAATGCTAGGCGATGGCTAGCAGCCATAACGTTGCAATTTCACATAATCCTGACGAGATCCGAAAAACCGTAGCAAAAACTAGCAAGCGGGTGATTATGTATGTTCACTAAGTAAATATTATGTAAATAAACCCTACACTTCTCGCTATAAATGTAATCAAAACCCATTTAAATGCAGAAACTGATTGAAATTATTGATTTTCCCACTAAAAGTTAGAGAAAACTCAGCCATGTTTATACCAAAATGTTACAGTTTCACATTATCTTGAAAAATCTTTGCAAGAAACGAACAAGCAAGTGAATATGTACATTCCCTGAGTAAATATTCTGGCAACAAACTATACATTTCTCACTAGAAATGTAATCAAAACTAATTTTAATGCAAAAACAAACTCAAGTTATTAATCTTTCCACAAAAAAATGAGCGAATGTCGGCCATCTATATATATTTTTTTCTTCTCCCAGCTGGAATCTTGAAAGTCACGTGACTAGGACATAAAACAATAGAAAGCTTATAGGCAGAAGAAACGTAACAGTGCCACAAAAAAATGGCCATTAATGTACCTCCACTATGTTTTGCAGTGTGGACCAACGTAGTGGGGGTACATTTTCCCATGAGACTGGGTTGCTTTAAATTGCAATGATAAAAGAACAGTAACCCCCTCACCCCCCACCCCGTTGGAAGCTGCCCATCTACTGATTAATTAACGCACGGATAGGAGAAGGTTTCCACTAAGCAGCAGGTCCCTCCGGTTCATGATGGACATACTTGCTAAGTTTTTTCCAAAGGCGGATAAAACAAACAGACTCTGGATAAACTGCAGCTCCACCGAACATCTGCTCTATGGTCACTTTGTTTAAATCAGAGGTTCTGATTCTGCTGATGTTTTCCAGCCCTCTGTTCCAGATGTTTGAATGTTCTCTGTGACCCGTTCCTCTAAACAGGTTTTTGATCGTTAGTTTTAAGTCTGGCTGGTGGTTCCAGCTCCAGGATGTCCGGGTAGCTGCACATTAGCTGCATGTGGGTCATTAGAGGTTACCGGTTGGTGAAAAGCACTGGGAGCTGGTTTCCATTAAGGGTACATGTTTGTTCAGCAAACATCTCTGCTGACGCTGTAGGCAGTTCGGGTGATCGGGGTCTGGATTATCTACTAATAACAGCTGAACTATCTCTCACGGTTCATGTAGCTCTAGTCTGATGGTCACTGCTGGGGCTTCAAACTGGGAACTTCAGAAACATACTGGGCCCAATGTTTGCCTTTTCCTTTAGTATATAAAACATGAAACCTTAATCTGATCCTTTGTGTGTGTGTGTGTGGGGGGGGGGGGGGGTTGGTTAGGATTTGGAGTAACGCTTCAATCCTCTGAACAGGAGCAGATTATTCGTTTATCTCTGGAAGTTGAGGCAGCATCTGATGTAGCCATAGAATCTGGACCGGGTTTAGACTGCTTTGATCCAGTCTACATCTAAGCCTTCAACTTGGATGTTAGATCCAGTTCCAACCAGGTTATTTAAGGAGGTATTCCCTTTGATCTCCTCCTCCATTTTAGATGTGATTAATCTATCTCTGTTACAGGGATATGTACCTAAAGCTTTTAAGTTTGCTGGAATTAAACCTCTGCTTTTAAGGCTAGGCTTAAAACTTTCCTTTTTGATAAAGCTTCTAGTTAGAGTGGCTCAGGTTATCCTGAGCTATCTCTATAGTTCTGCTGCTATAGGCTTAGACTGCTGGAGGACATAGGGACCCCTTTTTCATCATTCTGCTTCATTCTATCTCTATTCTCCCACTCTGCAGAATCTGTTAGTTCAATCTCTAACGTTCTGCTCTCTCTGCTTTTTCTCATAGTAGCTTCATCTGGTCTGTTCCTGTTTGGCTGTGACTCCATCCTGGAGAGAAATATCAGCTGTGCTGCTGTCATCAATACCTTTGTTTCTAGATGTTGGAGCTTGGCCTGTTTTCCAGTGTAGTCCTGTTTCTCTGACTGTGACTAACTGGATGTGCTCTCTTCATCCTCTGACATGGGAGCTGGCTCGGAGCTCGTCTGCCTGGCTGTGTGTTTCCTGGACGGGGCCGCCTGTGGAGCTGGTTGACAGTTGCCTTTTGTATCTATGCTTCTTTTTCTATGTCTGCTTCTGTCTCCTTGAACCCCAGTGGGCCTCAGCAGATGGCCGCTCACACTGAGCCTGGTTCTGCTGGAGGTTTCTTCCTGTTCAAAGGGAGTTTTTCCTCTCCACTGTCACTACAAGCATGCTTAGTGTGAGGGATTGCTGCAGAGTCAATGAGTCAATGCAATCAGCTGGTTTTCCTTAGATAGAAAACTTTGAATCAATCTGACTGGATGATCTGGTGAACTGGAAAGTGACCTGAGATGACATGATGTGAATTGGAGCTATAGAAATAAACTGAATAGAATATGTTTGTAGATCACAGCTCTTTTCTCTCGGTACCATACAGAACAAATGGACGATCCTTTATTTACACAGTATGTTTCTTTTAATCACATGAACATTTTTTAAACTTCCAGGCAGAGCCCAGATTATAATCTGGAGGAGAATTTGGAGCCAAAATGTAGATTATTGCCTTAAAACCTCAAAGATGTGGAGTTCATCAACAAAGAACCAGAAACCTGCTTTTATTATATAAATTACTGATTGCTGCAGAGAAATCTTTATCATGCATCTTTGTAGAAGTTTGACAGCTAGATGTAAAAGCTGTTTTTAAAGATGTTTTTAACAATAACTGAATGAATTATAAAAGGTTTAATGTCAAATAAGTTTTTATCTTCTGCTTCTGATGGAGTTCAGCATGAGGAGCAGATATTAGATGATGGGAAACATCCCAGAATGACTAACTGGAGTTTTAGCAACAAACTGGATTAACTGGGAGCTTCACGACTTTTCTTCCAACTTGTGGAGCTGCAGGCGGTGATAGGCTGAGAGACAGCCCAGGCTCCTCCCTGTCCCGCCCGCTGACATCAGGCGGAGCCCCGGGTGGAGGAGCAGCTCACACACTCCTCCTCCCCTCCTCCTCCTCCTCTCTCTCTCTCTCTCTCTCTCTCTCTCTCTCTCTCTCTCTCTCGCTCTCTCGCTCTCTCGCTCTCTCTCTCTCTCTCATCCAGCAGAAGCAGCAGATCAGTTCGACAGAAGCAGCTGCTCTGCTGCCACCGCTTTGTTTTTCTTCATGGGAAATAAAAACCGAAGCTCCTCTCAGGAAGGTAAGAGTTCTCCTCTTCCTCCTCTTCCTCCTCTCCCTCCTCTTCCTCCTCTTCCTCCTCTCCCTCCTCTTCCTCCTCTTCCTCCATGTTTTTCCACGCAGAGCAGATCTAGAGCGGCTCTAACTTTTCTCTTTTGAGAAACAGCAGCAGCAATCTGTGGATCCTTGTTCCTCCTCCCTGCACCTCCTCCTTGTTCCTCCTCCTTGTTCCTCCTCCCTGCTCCTCCTCCTTGTCTCTCCGTCGCTCTCAGACCAGAACCTTTAACTTCAGACTGTCCATCTGGACAGGGCGGTCTCTGTCAGCCAGTCTTCGGGCTGTGGACGGGAAACACCGGTTGCCATGGCATCCAGAGAAACACGGGATCCATTCAACGTCAGCTCCATCCTCCTCCTCATCATCATCATCCTCATTCTCGCTGTTTTCTGCAGCATCTGTGTCTGAATGATTGATGATCAATCATCGTTCAGCTCTAAAACTTTCTGCAGAACAAACCATCACTTCCGATCTGATGGTCTGTTTCTCTCCATGTGAATAAAAAAGGTTTTTATAATAATCAGGCTTTCCTGCTGTGAGGATGAGGAGGATATCGCTGCTTGTTAGAAATAAAACGGAAAATGAGCATAAAGTGATGAAGAAAAGCCGGATGTCGATGTTTAACATCATGGATGATGAACAGACTCCTGATAACCACTATTTTTCACACACTGTTTAATCAAAGCCTAAATTGATCCATCAGTCTGTTAATTGATCCTTCAGTCTGTTAATTGATCCATCAGTCTGTTAGTTGATCCTTCAGTCTGTTAATTGATCCTTCAGTCTGTTAATTGATCCATCAGTCTGTTAGTTGATCCTTCAGTCTGTTAATTGATCCTTCAGTGTGTTAATTGATCAATCAGTCTGTTAATTGATCCTTCAGTCTGTTAATTGATCCTTCAGTGTGTTAGTTGATCCACCAGTCTGTTAGTTGATCCTTCAGTCTGTTAGTTGATCCTTCAGTCTGTTAGTTGATCCTTCAGTCTGTTAATTGATCCTTCAGTCTGTTAGTTGATCCTTCAGTCTGTTAATTGATCCATCAGGCTGTTAATTGATCCATCAGTCTGTTAGTTGATCCGCCAGTCTGTTAATTGATCCTTCAGTCTGTTAATTGATCCATCAGTCTGTTAATTGATCCTTCAGTCTGTTAATTAATCCTTCAGTCTGTTAATTGATCCTTCAGTCTGTTAGTTGATCCGCCAGTCTGTTAATTGATCCTTCAGTCTGTTAATTGATCCATCAGTCTGTTAATTGATCCTTCAGTCTGTTAATTGATCCATCAGTCTGTTAATTGATCCTTCAGTCTGTTAGTTGATCCACCAGTCTATTAATTGATCCTTCAGTCTGTTAATTAATCCTTCAGTCTGTTAGTTGATCCACCAGTCTATTAATTGATCCTTCAGTCTATTAATTGATCCTTCAGTCTGTTAATTAATCCTTCAGTCTGTTAATTGATCCTTCAGTCTGTTAGTTGATCCGCCAGTCTGTTAATTGATCCATCAGTCTGTTAATTGATCCTTCAGTCTGTTAATTGATCCATCAGTCTGTTAATTGATCCTTCAGTCTGTTAGTTGATCCACCAGTCTATTAATTGATCCTTCAGTCTGTTAATTGATCCTTCAGTCTGTTAGTTGATCCTTCAGTCTGTTAATTGATCCTTCAGTCTGTTAATTGATCCATCAGTCTGTTAGTTGATCCTTCAGTCTGTTAATTGATCCTTCAGTGTGTTAATTGATCAATCAGTCTGTTAATTGATCCTTCAGTCTGTTAATTGATCCTTCAGTGTGTTAGTTGATCCACCAGTCTGTTAGTTGATCCTTCAGTCTGTTAGTTGATCCTTCAGTCTGTTAGTTGATCCTTCAGTCTGTTAATTGATCCTTCAGTCTGTTAGTTGATCCTTCAGTCTGTTAATTGATCCATCAGGCTGTTAATTGATCCATCAGTCTGTTAGTTGATCCGCCAGTCTGTTAATTGATCCTTCAGTCTGTTAATTGATCCATCAGTCTGTTAATTGATCCTTCAGTCTGTTAATTAATCCTTCAGTCTGTTAATTGATCCTTCAGTCTGTTAGTTGATCCGCCAGTCTGTTAATTGATCCTTCAGTCTGTTAATTGATCCATCAGTCTGTTAATTGATCCTTCAGTCTGTTAATTGATCCATCAGTCTGTTAATTGATCCTTCAGTCTGTTAGTTGATCCACCAGTCTATTAATTGATCCTTCAGTCTGTTAATTAATCCTTCAGTCTGTTAGTTGATCCACCAGTCTATTAATTGATCCTTCAGTCTATTAATTGATCCTTCAGTCTGTTAATTAATCCTTCAGTCTGTTAATTGATCCTTCAGTCTGTTAGTTGATCCGCCAGTCTGTTAATTGATCCATCAGTCTGTTAATTGATCCTTCAGTCTGTTAATTGATCCATCAGTCTGTTAATTGATCCTTCAGTCTGTTAGTTGATCCACCAGTCTATTAATTGATCCTTCAGTCTGTTAATTGATCCTTCAGTCTTTTAATTGATCCATCAGTCTATTAATTGATCCACAAGTCTGTTAGTTGATCCGCCAGTCTATTTATTGATCCACAAGTCTGTTAGTTAATCTGCCAGTCTGTTAATTGATCCTTCAGTCTGTTAATTGATCCTTCAGTCTGTTAATTGATCCATCAGTCTGTTAATTGATCCTTCAGTCTATTAATTGATCCACAAGTCTGTTAGTTGATCCGCCAGTCTGTTAATTGATCCTTCAGTCTGTTAATTGATCCACCAGTCTATTAATTGATCCTTCAGTCTGTTAATTGATCCTTCAGTCTTTTAATTGATCCACAAGTCTGTTAGTTGATCCGACAGTCTGTTAATTGATCCTTCAGTCTGTTAATTGATCCTTCAGTCTGTTAATTGATCCATCAGTCTGTTAATTGATCCTTCAGTCTGTTAATTGATCCTTCAGTCTGTTAATTGATCCATCAGTCTGTTAGTTGATCCGACAGTCTGTTAATTGATCCTTCAGTCTGTTAATTGATCCTTCAGTCTGTTAATTGATCCTTCAGTCTGTTAATTGATCCTTCAGTCTGTTAATTGATCCATCAGTCTGTTAATTGATCCTTCAGTCTATTAATTGATCCACAAGTCTGTTAGTTGATCCGCAAGTCTGTTAATTGATCCTTCAGTCTGTTAATTGATCCTTCAGTCTATTAATTGATCCACAAGTCTGTTAGTTGATCCGCCAGTCTGTTAATTGATCCTTCAGTCTGTTAATTGATCCTTCAGTCTGTTAATTGATCCATCAGTCTGTTAATTGATCCTTCAGTCTATTAATTGATCCACAAGTCTGTTAGTTGATCCGCCAGTCTGTTAATTGATCCTTCAGTCTTTTAATTGATCCGCCAGTCTGTTAATTGATTCTTCAGTCTGTTAGTTGATCCGCCAGTCTGTTAATTGATCTTTCAGTCTGTTAATTGATCCTTCAGTCTGTTAATTGATCCTTCAGTCTTTTAATTGATCCTTCAGTCTGTTAATTGATCCTTCAGTCTGTTAGTTGATCCTTCAGTCTGTTAATTGATCCTTCAGTCTGTTAGTTCATCCTTCAGTCTGTTAATTGATCCTTCAGTCTGTCAGTTCATCCTTCAGTCTGTTAATTGATCCTTCAGTCTGTTAATTGATCCTTCAGTCTATTAATTGATCCTTCAGTCTGTTAATTGATCCTTCAGTCTATTAATTGATCCATCAGTCTGTTAATTGATTCTTCAGTCTATTAATTGATCCTTCAGTCTGTTAATTTATCCTTCAGTCTGTTAATTGATCCATCAGTCTCTAAATTCACCTACCAGTCTGTTAATTGATCCACCAGTCTGTTAGTTAATCTGTCAGTCTGTTAATTGATCCCCCAGTCTGTTAATTGATCCATCAGTCTGTTAATTGATCCACTAGTCTGTTAATTGATCCATCAGTCTGTTAATTGATCCATCAGTCTGTTAATTGATCCATCAGTCTGTTAGTTGATCCATCAGTCTGTTAGTTGATCCACCAGTCTGTTAGTTAATCCTTCAGTCTGTTAGTTGATCCATCAGTCTGTTAATTAATCCACCAGTCTGTTAGTTGATCCATCAGTCTGTTAATTGACCATCAGTCTGTTAGTTGATCCACCAGTCTGTTAGTTAATCTGCCAGTCTGTTAATTGATCCATCAGTCTGTTAGTTGATCCACCAGTCTGTTAGTTGATCCACCAGTCTCTTAGTTAATCTGCCAGTCTGTTAATTGACCATCAGTCTGTTCATTGATCCACCAGTCTGTTAATTGATCCATCAGTCTGTTAATTGATCCATCAGTCTGTTAGTTGATCCACGAGTCTGTTAGTTAATCTGCCAGTCTGTTAATTGATCCATCAGTCTGTTAGTTGATCCACCAGTCTGTTAATTGATCCATCAGTCTGTTAGTTGATCCACCAGTCTGTTAGTTAATCTGTCAGTCTGTTAATTGATCCATCAGTCTGTTAGTTGATCCACCAGTCTGTTAATTGATCCACCAGTCTGTTAAATGATCCTTCAGTCTGTTAATTGATCCATCAGTCTGTTAGTTGATCCATCAGTCTGTTAGTTGATCCATCAGTCTGTTAGTTGATCCACCAGTCTGTTAATTGATCCACCAGTCTGTTAATTGATCCACCAGTCTGTTAAATGATCCTTCAGTCTGTTAGTTGATCCGTCAGTCTGTTAATTGATCCATCAGTCTGTTAGTTGATCCACCAGTCTGTTAATTGATCCACCAGTCTGTTAATTGATCCACCAGTCTGTTAAATGATCCTTCAGTCTGTTAGTTAATCTGCCAGTCTGTTAATTGATCCATCAGTCTGTTAATTGATCCATCAGTCTGTTAGTTGATCCACCAGTCTCTTAGTTAATCTGCCAGTCTGTTAATTGACCATCAGTCTGTTCATTGATCCACCAGTCTGTTAATTGATCCATCAGTCTGTTA